AAGAGGCAGAAGTAGTTTAAAATACAGTATGAACAGAAGACAGAACAATCTTTTCATTAGTGGAAATGTCCCCAGAGGACCAGTATCTCCACATTCCTGTCTCCTACTACATATTTGTAAGCACCTTTATGCTGTTGGCAGAAACACTTGCAAACAAAGCAAAGAAAGTGTGCAGGAACACTTGCAAAAGGAGTGTTTCTGTGCTGGAAAAAGTCCAAGAAGGCATAGTGAAAGGAGAGGTGGTCCTTAGGAGTTGAAAACTAAGAATCTTGTAACTAAAGGTGTCAGGCTGCCTCCCAGAAAGGTACACAGATGACTGCCACTGGATCTGCCATTACTCTTGTTATTGAGAGTTAGTTCAGAATTGAGAGTGGGCTGCGAGAAGCCCTGTTTACACCTACAGCTTCAGGCAAATAAGGACCAAGGGGACAAAGCATCTAGGATTTAGCTAGACCATCAGCAGAGGTCATGGTATTAGGTATAACCTACTTCCTACAACTGAAGGTAGCTTTTGCTGCCACTGATGTAACAAAAAACCTGAAACAAACAAACAAACAATCCAAACCAAAACCGCCACCAACAAAACCAGCAAAAACCAACCAACCAACCACCACAAACAACAAACGAAAAACCTCAGTAGCAGGAGGAAACCTGCAACCCTGCCTGCTGACCCGGCCTGCGCGAACTGCAGCAAAAACTACCATGCCACGTCCGTTTGCCCGCTGCGGGTCGCCGCTTCCCTACAGCCCTCCTTCAAACATCCCTCCGCTCGCCGGAGGAAAACCCCGCCCTGCGCCTGGGGGCTAACAAGAACCAGTCGCTTCTTTCGGGAAGCAGCCTCGCTCATGATTTCTAAACAGAAACATTCTTACTTGAGGAGCTGCGCGGCAATCTAGAATATGAGAGTTTGACCTCCCAGGTGGGGAAAGTACCAGCATCAGCTCCTTTTTCTCTCCATGGTGCTGGTTGTTTACAGGTAAGAAAACAGGCATGCTGAGACCTGGGAAGAGGGTATGCAGAACAGGGGAGAAAAGACAGCAGAACAGGGGAGAAAAGACACAAGTCCAGCTCAAGAAAGAGGTGCCTGGGGAAAGCAGAGACAAACATGGCTGCCAGAGCCTGAAAGGATGCGCCAGGGACACATATCCCTATGCCACGCCCTGTCAGCCTGGGCCAATGCTTTTGATTGGCTTTTTAACACTCATCTTTGCAGAAATCCAATGCACGTGGCTGATGAGCAGCGGCACTTAAAATCAGACAGCAGACTCTGCTTAGTGGAGCAGGTGAGAGGGCATTCCTTGCCTACACAGAACAAGCACTTGAACACTGCTGGCTTTATGTTTTTGTTTTTTGGGGTTTTTTTTTGCATCTGTTTTCTCTTTAGATGGTGAGCAGCCTAAGGGCCAGAGAAGAAAATGAGAGTCAACCCAAGGTAGCAGTAACACCATGGAGTGGAGAATTTGTACTAAACTGATCCAAGGACAGAGATTATTTCACTGTTCTCACATGCAATTAAGGGGAAAGAAACTCCTACAACCACCATCCTCCTACTAGCTTATCTTGCTGGTTTACCTTGAGGCAGATGCAAAATAACTATTTTAATGTTTGGCTATGTTATGAAAACACAAAAAATGTATTTCAGAACCTTCTCCTACAGTTGATAAAAGCCCATACAAAAGTTGCTTCCTATAAAGAACTAACTCTTAAGATTCTAAGGTCAAATGAAAAGATTTCAGATGAAATGTCTTCCTTCTTGCGCTAGAGGAACCACATTGTAGGAAACCAAATAACTGGACAGCATGTGTTCTCTAGAATATGTTTCACTTACAACAGGCACTATTCTTAGTTCCAGTTCTTAGGGTCTAATCTATGACACCCCAATGTTCAGACTGAAAACATACTTTCAAGTATGCTTAATCACATGGGCCTTAGCACCACAAATTGCCTGAGCCAATTCATAGCAAAGGTGGTGGAGAAATTGACAATCATCTAAATAAACAATGGCAAACTTCTGTAAAAGTGTGATCAAATGTTAATTTCAATTCTTTTGCACTGTCCTACTTCAGCCAACACTGCAATGACAGTGAGAAGAAGAAGCAGCTGTCATTAAAACAGTTAAGCCAGAATTTCCGTCTTAGAAGGCTGATCCCGCCCAGTGCTGAGCACCTCCTGAATTAATTTCTCCTCTTACTGATACTCAGCTGGCTTCAACAGACAAAATACTCTCTTACTGGTTCATTCTGGGAACACCAACTGCTCTCAGATCTGTTTTGAATACTAATACAGAACCTCAGTTCTGATGTCATATGCCACCTATGCAAATTCTCCAAATGCTTTGGATATTAGCATGAAAGAGTGTTAAGTCTTAGATAAGTGAAAATGAGATATGAGTGGGCAATCTCATGTTAGCAAGATAGATCAATGATAGGCCACAAAGAATGCTTTAGAGAAAACAAGAAAAGAAGAAAATTAGTAAATCTAATGGTCTGCCTCCTGTCTAGTTTGTGCCGTATTTGAACCCACAGTATTGCACTGCCATCAGTACATTATACTGCTAACATGCACACTGGAGGATGCTCTGAGCAAAATAAAGGGAGATCTTATCCAAGATAAAAGGACTTCAAAAGCCATGGATAGCTGGGTGAAGCAAAAAACATCCAAACAATCAGTGAAGAGTGGGGTAAGAGATAATAGCAAGCCCACACTCAGAAAGCAAGTGCTCATGATACAAGTAAGTGTGGGCTTGGAATATAGACAAGGGAGCTGAATCCTACTGAGTCCAAATACAGAAGTATCTTCACTCAAAACAGAAGGAGTTCTGTTGCCTGGGACCCCTATGCCAAGATGAAGTAGAACTCCTAAAGAACATCACTGAAGAGACAGTTGGATAAAAGCTCCTGTGAGTGAGTGTATGTCTTCTCTGGCATGTCATTTGTTGTTGAACTTACCCTGCTGTGACATTTCTGCCTGTAGTCTGTGTAGATCTGGATGTTTAATAAAGTTCTGATCTGTGTGTGTGTGGGAAAGAAAACTAGGCTTTGAACACTTATTTCTAACATACCCACTGTATCCAAGCTGCATTTCTCTATTCCCCCAAAGCATATTCTGCAGAGAAGCATGTGAGACTGATCTGTTCTTCAGCAGTTCCTGCAAGGTCTATGGGTGTTCTCTTCAACCCAAAGTCGAGACAGCATTTAGGCCATACAAATCAGTAAGTTTAGGACAATTCCGCTGGAGAATGAGAAGCAGATCTGGAAAACTTACAGTAAAATTCCACTAGCTAATACTTTATTAAGCTGTCCATGGTTCTAATCCATGTAATTTATGCACAGAGAAATTACATCATTTGCTTCAGTGACCACTATTTATGTACCTGTCTAGAAGCGAATGATGTTTAGAAGAGGCTTTAAAGTGGTCTGTGAAACATACACATAGAAAGGAGACATGTTTCCTGCTGAAAGCTTTGTTAATTTTTCTAAGAGACAGCATTTAGTGTAAGACATGTCAGTGTAAAACCAGAAGTGTATAACATGTCTTACTTAAAAACCCAAAACCATGAAGTCTCTCTAAGATAAGCAATGATACCAGTCAAGCTTGGAGGCCACACTTTGGAACCTGGGATGTTGGAAAACTAGGCAACAGCCACAATTTACCATCCTATATCCTGATAAGCTATTTACCAGGCCAAGATGCAATCTTTTCAGAGCCTCTAAATGGTACTTGCTAACACTGACTCTGATGTTATGAGATAGGAGCAACATAAATACTTTGCACCACAATCCTTCACAGCAAATGGACTTAAAAACACTTGGGGGAAAAAATAAAAGTCATGGAAAGACATTCAGACTGAAATGTGGTAACTTTTATCAGTGAAGCCCTCTGCCCATCACTGTCTCATTCTTGTGAAACCAGACACATTCTGAGTCCAAAAAAGGGCCACGATTCTTTGTTAGAATGTTTACTTGGTTTTAGTAATGCAATACATACAGTTTGTATCTTCTTCCTATTACACCTGCAGTTCTGCCTACAATAAATGCATTTCTTAAGACTGTTTAGCATTAAAATCACTTATATTTAGTCCTATCGTTATATAATTAAACATTATCCTATGTTTTTCTTGCCAATTACCATCTCTGTCTGTAGTCCTATGGATAAATTACTTGCAACACAGACTATGAAATGTACACTGAACTTAGCAAAAAGCACACTATACATTACCAGAATTTTATTGACTTTATATATAAATTCTGCAGGAGATACTGTTAGGTACCAAGCCTGTGTTGACAGAGCAAGTAAATATGACGGAAAGGTCTCTTCCAGTCCAAACCACCAGTGACACATAGCCCAATCCTCCCACCACTGGCAGGGACACATTCCACTAGTCTTGACTGATCAGAACTCTGTCTACCTGATTCTGAATACTTCTTAAGACATCCACAACTTCTCTGAGCAACCTGTTTCACTGTTTCAGCAGCCCCATCATACAAACCACTTTTAGACCCAATCTAAATAAATCCACTTTAAAACTGTTGCCCTTTGTCCTGCCACTACAGGCTGCAACGAAATGTCTCTCTCCGTCTTCCTCATAAGCCCCCTCTATGTTCTGAAAGGCCACTCTCAGGTCTCCCTAGAGCCTTTTCCTCTCCAGTCTGAACAATCCCAACTCTCCCAGCCTGTCCTCTTCGGAGAGGTGTTTCATCCCTCTGATGATCTTTGTGGCACTCTGCTGGACTTGCTCCAACACATCTTTCTTACAGAGTACCCCAAAACTGGATGCAATACTCCAGGTAGGGTCTCAAGAGAGCAGAGGGGCAAAATCACCCCACTAATCTGCTTTTGATGCACCCCAGGATGCAGGTGGACTTCTGAGCTGCGAGTGCACATTGCTGGCCCACGTTCAGTTTTTCATCCACTAGCACACCAAAGTCCATTTCCACTAGGCTGATCTCAACCACCTTCACCTCAACTCAAATGCAGCACCTTCTGCTTGGCCTTGTTGAACTTGGGCCCCACTCCTTGAGCTGTCAGGGTCCCTCTGGATGACATTCCTTCCCCCACTCAACAGTCAGCTTGCTGCTTTTGCCTTTAACCAACTCAATCCCACTATCTCATTTACTGATGAAAATACTACGCAGTACTGGTCCCAGGCCTCCGAGGGAAACCATCTGTTCCTGGTTTCGACTTGGACACTGAGCTATAGGCTGTAACTCTTTGGATGCAGCCATTTTTATCTATGTTCTCACCTAGCCTTACTTACGAAGAATATGTAACAGAAACGTGTAACAGAACCCACTACCTATGGACCTGCTCTGTGCCACTCTCCTGTGACTCTAAGTACCCAGTATATAAACCAAAAAAATTAGCATAACAATTACCATTATATGTCACTACCAAATTCAAAAAGAGAAACCCAAGGGGATCGAAAATAGACACCCAGAAAAAACTTTCTCCAGAACACTTAGATATGAATCTCCTGGCTCTGATCCATTTCACCAGAAGTGCCAATGGAAGAAAGATAAAAATGTAAATTAATCTTAAAGCCAGATATATGATTTGGCTTAGTGGAAGGTAATGAAAGGTATGCTCAAGCTCTGGCTCCTGCAATCCAAATTTTTTAAAAAACACCAAGAATACAGAAAATTGGTTAAGCTATTTTCCCCAGTACCTGAAAAGCACCTCAACTGGTTTTGCTAGGAAGAACACATCCAGATATAAGGCTTTCACAGCAGGAGACTGGGTGTCTAACAGAGGAAGACTAGGAAGCTAAAATGCTTGTGTACGTGCTTCCTTCTATTTTCCTTTGGATTAGTATTTTTTTTTTACAGTACTATGAGGATCCTTACCGTTCATGTTTCTGATCTTTTCCTTGTACTCTGATCCACTTCTGCCTCAGCAATCCCTGCTGTTCAGGGACTTAGAACCTAAAGTTCTGAGCAGCACAGTATTTTCTAAAAAGTGTCTTTCTAAAAGTGTAGTTTACAAGGTATCATCACCAACCTGTTTCATGAATAGCAAAAATCACTGTGAGACATAATGACTAGAAGTAAATAAACATGCCCCCCGATTTCCACACATCTTGGAGAAGCATACATTTCATTTGTTTTATTTACTAGACAAGAAGTAGCAGGTTATTTTATTAAAATAAAACTGTATTAAAAAATTGAAATGCATACATTCAAACCACTCCAGCACATTCATCACTTAATACAGGATCTGAAATTGGAGCTGTTCAGTAAAGCACAAAATGGGTGTGTTTGGGACACTGTCAGCAAAGTACTTTTTCTGTACAGTTCTGTAAGTCACGTAAGTACATCTTCAGGCACGAATTTGGTTTAGGCATTACTTCAGTCTCCAACACTAACTCATTACACAACTGCTGCTGTGACAGAACCACCATAATTATTAAACCAGGTCTTCTAGCACACAAAACTAATACGCTGATTTAAAAAAAAAAATCACTGGAATAAAAAATATGGATAATGTATAAAAATAGTATAATTTTAATTTGAAATTGTTTGATCAGTTTTTATGTTATGTTTCTGAAGTGAATTGTAACCATGTGCCTTGTTGAAGGAAAAGATGGAGGTAGAAACAGCAACACAAATAGCCTGTAAATCTGCTTTCTTAGACCTTATTTTATGAAACTGCAACAAGATTACTTAGACTTTCCTTTCTACCATCAGTTAAAAGGTACCACTGAATAGAGGATTCTGACTTTTTTTCTCTCTCAGATACAGTTTGTCAGTAGGGCTATTTATAGTTGAAAACATACTCAAAATCTAATTTTAACCATCTTATATGTGATCAAACCGACAAAGATTTTAACAGCAGCCTTACACATGATCATTGATCAATGTTTAGTCCATTCTTTTAAGCTTGTAACAATTGTTGAAGATATTATGACCTCTGAAAGCTCGAAAGTGATCCACTCTTCCTTGAACACATTGAAACTTCAAGGTTCATCCAGGTTGTTACTGCTTTGGCAGGATGACCGAACACTGCACCATTGTCTGAAATACAAAGAAACAGGAGATAAATGCTTCTTTTGCCAATGCAGAGAGAATTACTTTTCATTGTAAAGGTCGATTATGTAGCTTCCATTTGGGTACAAACATGTGTAAATCCTTTCATGTGCATAGTATCTCCAACTTTTTCCAACACCACAGAAGTCAATATTATTACAAGGAGGGCATACACACACAACGAGTTTTCATTACAACTTTTGCAAAGCTATGTAATAGGATTATTGGTATGGAGAAGAACAACCATATTGCAAAACCACTAGTTTATGAACTTTGGGCTTAGAGACTGCAAATAAAAAATTGTGCAGCATGCTTTCTGTGACTTCTACATGACTTTCCATCAATTCTGAAGTACTGCTATCAAGAATAGAAACCAGCCAGATGGCACTGACTGTGAATGAATGAAAGACTCCAGTTATGTAGGGACAGGCAACTATGGCATCAGCCACATTCAAGGGCAGTGTCTAAGAAACATTTTCATCTCAGCTTTTGTGAGAAGTTCTTGGCCTGCAAGTACCCCTGCATGTAGACCAATGCAACTACAGTTGAAGTGAAACCTTGATGAATTTTCCTCCTCCACTTTACTCACCTGAGCCAATATACTGTGATCACATATGTGCATTCACTGACCAGTATCACTGATGAGATATTTTGTGAGGAAGAAAATTACTCTAAGATATTTACAAGATTAGAGTTCTAAATACATAACTTAGGAATGTAAGTTTCAGTTTGAGATAGACTAGAAAAAATGACTGAAAAAATATTAACCTTTATGCCCCTCAACTTGTTACCTGTCAAATCACATACATGTCCAAGTGATTCCCTAAACTGAAATACATCTACAGTTACCTTAACCCAATCTAAACTACCCTAGAGTATTCACTTACCACAACTCTCAAAATACAGCATTATTCCTTGTATCAGAGATCTGACAAATACATTTCTCACAGGCTAGTACAGAAGTTCAAGAAATTGGCAGGTAGTACCAGCAGGTTTCCCCACAGAGCCAAGAAATTTACCTAAGGAGCACTCACAAAAGCTGACACCTTACTACAAGCTGATCTTCTTACAGCCACTGTAAAAAAAAAAACAAATCAGCTCTAACAGGACATTCCTTTTACCATTATAGTGCAGATTTTCTCCTGATACTCAAGGGGTTGACCCTTATTTTAATATAATAAAGGTACAGAGCTCAATTCCCAGTTATGATGAACTGAAATTCTTTTCAACAGGACAGTTTTTTTCTAACTCATATTTGTCTTAGCAAAGATTAAAAAAAAGTCTTGAAACATATGAAATTGTCTGCTGTCATCAATTCATTTACTGCATGGACAATGAGCCCACACTTTACGTGATAAGTTTTTGTTATCAATGCTTTGGCTGCAGTTCTTGCTGTCTTTGACATCTCTTCCAATTGTCAACTATGGACAAGCTTCCATTGTCCTGAAAGCACCCCTAACATACCTGCACTTCCATCTGGGTTCTCTCTTTGCAACTTGTTTCTGCTTCCAACCCTTGATTGCTGCATTTTTGCATCTCGCACTGTTTCCTGTTCCTTTCTGTGGATCAAAATGCTGCCCTTAAAGACCTGCCAAATTTCTGGAGCTCCTTGACTCTTCAGAGCTGTCTCCTATGAGATTATACATACTAATTCATTGATTGAAAACAAGGATGCTCACCTGAACTCCAGCAACTGTACTGTTAGTTGCCTTACTTGCTCCTCATAGGATGTGGAATGACACAATTTCATGAAGATTACAGCAACAACTGTCAGTAATTATCACCTCACTAAACAACTCTTCTCAGTTAACAGCATATCCAGCTGTATATCACCCATGACTGACCAGCCTGTCCAGAAATTTCCTTGACACCAACCAGAAATCACTTGGACCATTGTGATCAAAAGCATAATCTGTGTTTCCTGACACACTGACATACATGTGGTCATACCCTGTTCTGAAAGAGTGAAGGCTTTAACCTGACACTGGAAAATTATCTCTTTACAGCAAGAAAGCCACAAATTACTGGCCTAAAGACATCTTAGACAGTTAAATAATAGTAACTTTCAAAGTACACTTACAGTCACTGACATATCAAAGATTAAATGATACAGTAAAGAGAAGTGATGGCAAGCAGCCTATCCTTTATCCAAAAAAACAGCCCTTGGACATTTTGTTTCAACACCAAAGTCTTTCCTTGAAATTACAGTGAGATTCAGAGGTGACACCACTGGCAGGTGTGCTGACCTGTGATTAATACTTCTACACAAGGAGACAGAAAAAAAAAGGTGGGCAGAGACTGACAGCACATTTTCTCTTGCCAGGTGAAGTTCCTCCTGTCAAAGCAGACAGATTACAGCTCTTGGAGAAGAAAAGCTGTGTCTGTGTAGAGCTTTACTGTTTCACAAGCTTCCCCAACACTAAATCAGACATTTGCCCATTTGATATGCGCAGCTGTGGCTTGGATATATTCCGTCACTGACAGGAGTGTACCAGCTGCAGTCTTACTCAGCTTGCTCCTTGTCTGTGCTCCTTCACGTATTTCCACAGCGCAAGCAAGAGCTGCTGCCTTCAAGCTCTAGGAAAAGAGCTCCAAAACAGTTCAAAAATTCCATCATCTGGCCTTTAAAACTCACACTATAAAATATAATGAAGTACAGTACAAGACAATAGATTTAAAAAACTCTTTATGGTTCAATTACATACTTGTACAGAGACAGATACATGCATCTTTCTCTTTGATTCCCTGCAAAATTGCCTCTCTCATTCATTAACACCAGTCCTTCCTCTGCTTCATCACCACTGAATTGCCCAAACAGGAATACTTGTAGCCTTTCCTGATGTTCCTATGTAAAATTAAAGGAAGCCTCCAAAGCCTTTAGAGCTTCAGAATTTCTCACTATTCCAGAGTTCTTGCTCTTTCAAGTCATTAACCCTTGTGGCTCCTACTTTCTTGATATAAAATTTCAATCCCCACTGCCTGTTTCCAGCTTTTACAGTGCCTTCAGATCAACTCTCTTTCTCAGTATACTATCACTCAAACCTGTCTGCAAAGAACATAAATACCTAAGAATTGAAGGTGAAACGATTTCATTATTCATCATTGATATGAGGCAGTAGATAATTAAGAGAAAAAGAGTTAAAAAGCAACATTAGGACTGAGTGACCCTTCCTCTGGTGCATCACATTTTCTTCTTTCAGTACTTAGGGGTCTGAGCTGGAAGAAGCACTTGACAATGAACTGAAAGAACAGCTGGCATTCATTGAAGGGGAATATTGCAAATGTAGTGCCAGCTCTCTTTCACTCCCAATGAAGATTCAAGACAATCATGAAAAGGAACACAGGAGGACACTGCTCACTGAAGTATGCCTGCCAGAAACCAAGGCAGATTCATCAGTACTTAAGCAGCATAATATAATTCGGAACCATTTCCTTTCATGCCAGTATGAAAAAAAAGTGCCTGAGGAATATCTAGCATATTATTTGTTTATATTCATATGAATATCTAGCATATTATTTATTTATAATTTCATATTATTTGTTAATAATTATTTGTTAATATAGAGCAAACTCTGAGTTTGCTCTATAGCTAGGCATTTGTATTAAAAAATGCAGTTCCATTCTCTGAAAATGTTTTCTGTGGATTAGAGGCAAGAAGCAATAGTGATTTTGGTGCCTCCCTTATCATCCAATGATACAACTTCCTAAAGAATGCAAAAGGGAAAGGAAAAAGTCAATTACCTCTCTCATATGTACAGAAGAAACATTAAAATAACTGTTTCAGATAACCAGGTGAGGAAGATTCATAACGATAATTCAGGCACTCTTAAAGAAAAGTAGGTTTTCACTAAAGAATTAGCAAAAGACTAATTTCAATATTTTGGGTTAGAATTCTACAAATCTGACCTATGCTTGAGAAGTGGCTGAGGTGCATTTTACTGAATATATCTTCCCTTCATGACACTGACTAAACTAGAGATGAGAATCACTGATACGACATATTGAGTTTGCGTGACCTGGTTTTGGTAGCAAGGGTCTATGGGGTGGCCTCTGTGAGAACCTGCTGGAAGCTTCTTCCATGCCCAGCACAGCCAATCTGTGGTGTCTTCAAAGATGGACATGCTGCTGGCCAAGGCTGGGTCAATTAGAAATTATGGTAATGCCTCTGTGATAACACACTAAGAAGAATTCAAAACTAAAAGGGGTTGTGTAGCTGTAATTGCAGCCAGAGAAGAGTGGAGTGAGAACATGTGCAGACACCAAGAAAACTGTGAGAACTCTGCAGACACTGAGGTCAGCGCAGAAGGAGGGGCAGGCGGTGCTCCAGGCACTGGAGCAGAGATTCCCCTGCAGGCTGTGGTGCAGCCCATTGTGAAGCAGCTGTGTCCCTGCACTCCATTAGAAAATCTGGTAATGCCTCTATAATAACATGTTTAACAAAACCATGGAACTCTCTTCGTCTGCTTGGGGTTGGAGGGCCATCAGTCCCCTTCCCAGTGGGGCCACCAGACCATGCTGCGAGGGGCCATCCTGGTGCTGAGAGCGACCCTGCAGCTGAGACCTGGAGCAGCCAGGGCCAGGAGCAGCCACACAGCCGCTGCCATCTTGGCACGGCCAGCGATGGACTTTGCCTGCCTGGCCACGTCTAGCATGCCGCACTGCAAACAGAAGGGCAGAAGCAGTGGCAGCAGCTTCTTTTTGGCACCTGCGCAAAGAGAGGCACTAAGTGGAGCTGGTGCCGTGGTGGCCAGCATGGCCTGCATGGTGCAGGTGGGGATCCCATGATCAGCAGCAAGAGGCATGGCAAGCAATTCCCTGATGCAGAACCCAGTAAAAATCAATCTTTCAGCACTGCAGAACTCTTTAACTCTTTAACAACTTTTCAAGTTGTTCTCACTTGAGAACAAACAAACCTATGAACACCAATTCTCTCCCGAGTCAGAGAAAAAATGAAGACACACGAGGAGAACAACGTGGCGACACTGAGGTCGGTGAAAAGGAGGGAAGGAGAGGAGGAGGTGCTCCAGATGTCAGAGCTGAGATTCTTCTGCAAGCTGTGGTGAGGACTATAATACAACAAACTGCTTCCCTGTAATTCATGAAGTGCATGGGGGATGCACAATTCACCCACAGCTCGTGAGAAAAATGTGCTCGCACTGGAGAGTGTAGACGCTGAAAAGCTGTGATCTGGTAACAGGCTTGAACAGAGAGAGAGAACCCTTACTTCCAGAGGTAGAGGAAGAGGAGCCTTGCTTCCAAACTATAACAGCTCATCCTTAAAAGACTATACTCTATGAACTAAAATAGCCCATGAAAAATAGTTGTGGGAAAATTGTTTGCTCTTGGGAGAGACTCAGGTTGCAGCAGATTGGGCAGGACTGCTGCTCGTGAAAATTAGAACGATGTTGGAGAAGTTCACAGAAAACTGTCTCCTGTGAGAAAAACCCCATGGCATGGCAAAAGACTACCCACCCTAAGCAAACCGAAGATTTTTAGACGTGGCAAACTCTAATACTAAAACCCCCATGTTTTGTCGCTCTTTGCTGTCAATGGGAATGAAAGAAGGGCTGGGGGAGGGGAGGAAAGGTATTCTAAAGGTTTTAGTTCTCATTATCCCCTTTTAATTCTGTTAATAATTTTTTTCTTTACACTTTTAAAAGTTTTGAGTCTGTTTTGCCCTTAGAGTGTTTTCTCCTAATCCTTATCTCACCCCATGAACCTTTTAATTTCTTTTTCTTTCCCTCTCACCTGCTCAACTACAGCAGAGAAGAATGAGTGAATGATTTTTCACGGGTGCACTGGCATTTGGCCAGTGTCAAAATTGCAACATTTTTGGTGGAGAATGCAGGAAAACATGACAACTTTGAGACAGGGATATTAACTGGGAGAAATAATGGGCAAAACAAGTATTAAATCACAAAATTAAATAGAATGATAGAATTTGTATTGTAATTGTAGTGAAAATCTAGGGGTGGATTTTTTGTGTAATCTGTCTTTTTGGTTCTGTGTAATGACTGTACCTTAGATTAAGTGTAGAGTATTTTTTCTTCTGTGTAGTTCAGTAGTTTTGAGTTTTCTAACTAAAGATTATATGTTGAGTGTAATTTTGAAAATAATTTTGAAATATTCATAGAAGCCAGGGGTGGAATTATCCTGCTCTGGTTTTGTCAGTTATAATACAATTTTGTCATTATATTCAATCAATATCTCTAAGCTGAGCTTGTTTTGCTCGTGACAGTATTTGATGAATTATCTCTCCTGGCCCTTATCTCAACCCAGTCAAAAAAAGCTTGTTGAGAAGCTGCATAGACATCCAAACTGTTTTAACATTGTTTTCCCCCTCTTTGTTATATCCACAAATGAATCTGAAGCATGCCTGTGAAATACAGATGATAAAAAACACAAGAAAACCTTGTCTAAGAAAAATTCTCCTTAAGAACTCCCTTGCCAAAATATTTTGAAATATTTTTCTTTTCCCTATTTTTTTTATGCAACTTAGACTTAAAATCTATGGAGAACACAATTATAGTAATTTCAAGTTGGTTATTACCCATACCTTTTAAGACTCTTCCTGTTCTACATATTAAAGTGAGCATAATATTTTTGGTTTGCTTCAGTCTCTTCCACTTGATTCGCCTTTATGCTAAGATCCAAGATCAGAGTTTCACTTGGATACTCACATATATTTGTATATTACTTTGTAGCTCATTTATTTGTATCTTATGAACGTCTTATAGTTGATGTCTCACTTCATCAACCACATAAAGCTATCTGTTTTTTTTAACCTTTTCTAAAACTTGTAAAACTGAAGCTAGATCTTGGCAACAAAACTTGCAAGAGTCATGTAGAATCTGTCCACCCTTCTTGAATGAATTTGGTTTCTTGAAGCATTTACTCTGAAACAAGTTGATTTAAGCAAAACTATCCTGTAACATACACCTGTGCTGTGTGTGCACACACATACGCTGTCCCTGGTACTCATCAGCTTCATTCATGTACTTACTTTCAGAGTGTGCAGGGTGCTGGTCCATTCCATGGAGCCTATCTGAGGTATGGCAGTAAGCAGTATGCTTGTAGCCTTATTTGCATTCCCTTTCAGCGTCTTTAAAACTTTATCCACTGAAACCTAGAAATACAATACACCTGAGTGGTGTCTCTCAATTTGGATGGCACACATTTTAAACACACAAATAAATTTAACTCAGAAGTGCAAAAGCGAAGCCTTAGAATATCAGTCTTTTTAGATAGTGCAAATGTTTTTTTTTTCTCTGTGTGTGTATGGTTGTGTATGTTGTGTATTGCAAACAAATAGGAGAACTAAATCATATACATTGTTTTGCACAGAGCTGCAAAAGGAAAATCACCAGACCAATTGCAGTCACAAAGGAGACAAGTCACACAGCATTCATGAGCTCCATACTCACAGACCCTCTGATTCAGAAAACAGGAAACAAAAGGTTTGCTACTAGTGAGGCAGGTTCATGAAAATGAATGTAATAGCAACAATTGACTCTATTTTTACTTTCGCAATAATTAATCAAGAATAACTCAGGGATTCTAATATAATTAAGAACAGATTTAGTACAGTAAGTCATCTCTGATCAAAACCTACACATTCTCATCCAAATCCCTCAGGGCAACACCAGAGGAAAAAAGTTTCACTCACAGCTTCTTCATGTTCCTTCCAGCAGTCATAATCTGTTGCCATGGCAATACTAGCATAACTCATTCCAGCTTCCTTTGCAAGAATCACTTCAGGCACTGTAGTCATGTTGATAACATCAGCTCCCCAACTGCGAAACACACAGCTTTCTGCACGAGAGCTGAAACGTGGGCCTTCAATTGTGATCATTGTCCCCTTGGAGTGGCACTGGAGGCCCAGCTTCTTGGCAGTCTCAATAAGAACCTGCAAAACATGCCAATGTCAAAGAAAGGAAATAATTCCCTTCGTGCACTGCCTTTGCATTCCATCACAAACTTGCACACAAAAGAAGTTAGCTTTACACAGAGTAGTCATATTTCATATGACTACAGTTGTCCAAAACCAAAGATCAGTTTTGTTTTCTTCACCCAACAAGAAAAATTAATAGTCCTACCAATAGGGATGAACTTGAATTCATCTGATTTTGTTAGTATCAGTTGGATCACTGCTTCCAATGCAGATCAAGAAGATTGAAACAGCATTTTTTGCACATTTAGACCGTGCCTACATTGCAGGCAGAATTGCAGGTAAAAGCATTCCACTGAGCACTACATTATCACATGGTGGAGCTGAGCCAGTGAAAACAGTAGTAAGAAATTTATATGTTGAAAGTAAAACTTTACAAGCAGATACTTCAAAGAGCACCCTAAGAATCTGTACAGAAATTATTACCACATTTTCCCACGCCAGTGGCTGAGCTGTATACTGGGCATACAGCATGCAGGCTGTTGGGGGTTAGCTTTCTTCCCTTTTGCTCCTTTTTACTTACAGAATTTTTCCCATAAGCTGCTAGGAAACTTTAACGACTAAGTACCTAAGGAAAAACAGGGTACTAAAGAAAAACAGAGGAAGCTCAGGGGAGTGGGGCAGGTAAAGAAGGGCTGGGGCAGCTGCTAGCTCCCCTGCTCTGAGACTTTGCTCTGTGGCTTCAGAGGAGGATGGTCTGAACTGCTGCTTTGGGAAGGGAATTTACTGCTGTTGCTGGAGCCCAGCTCAGTCCTGGGTTTCTGCGGTGGGCTCAGAGTTCTGCTGGGGCCCCGGGATCGGCTGCCATGGGGTTTGTGGAGCAAAGCCTCTCCTCCATCCCTTCCCGCCCGGGCCCAGCCGCCATTGCCGCGCGCTCCCCGAGCCCGCGCCACAGCGCCCCCTGCAGGCGCGGAGCAGTCACCGCCCCCGCCCCGCCCCGCGGGAGCAGCAGCGCCCCTGCCGGCCGCGCCCGGAACCGCAGCAGAGCGGAAAGCGCCCGCGGTCAGGACGCTGTCCCTGGGCTCCAGGTTCTGTTCATTGCTGATGCTCTACTTGCTGCTGTTTTATTCCCCTTGTAACACATACTGTTAAAGAGCTGTTAGTCCTGCTCCTGTATCTTTGCCTGAGAGGCCCTTAATTTCAAACTTAGAATAATTCAGAGGGAGGGCGTTTACATCCTCCATTCCAAGTGAGGCTCCTGCCTTCCCTAGCAGACACCTGTCTTTCAAACGAAGACAACTTCCCATCAGTTTTTTTAGTTCTAATGAGAACCTCATACATGGCAAAATAATCCTGACTTTCTCTCTTGGTATCAGCCTGGATAATGCCAGTTGATATAGCTGGAATAAGAGGATACTGGCCTAGATAAATGGAACTAGGATGTCCATCACTGTCTTGAGTAGGAAAGTGAAAGGAACCACAATAACATCTATTTAAAATGGCCATCAACAAAAAAATAAAAGATGGAAAAGAAAGCAAAAGCACTTCCAAAAATTGTGGTAGGCCAGGAGGGATCTGACATAACCACAGGTGAGCAGCATCTTTCTGAAACTCTTTATGAAGTTCCAGCTTTACTGCCTATAGGATGTTGTGTTGAGCCTCAGTTTCTAAAAGCAGCAATAGCCAAGATACCCTGTATTATTCAAAATTTCTGAGAGGAAGAGATAAACTCCATTTAGATTCGCATTTAACTTACAGTGCATAAACCAACTAGACCAGATAATTTTAATGTGTTTGCACAAATGCAATATAATATGAAGGTTTCAGATGTTTTGTTGCAAAATTCCTTAAATATGTTACATCCACAATTTTGGCTTTTTTATTATTATTGCACTTATCTATGAAATTCCTCTGAACTGGGATAAACTGGGATGAAATGATCCCAACAATTTTCAGACACAGTTTCAGAAAAAAATTTAAATCACTTTTTTCTGGTATTTTCTAAGTGAAGTGAAGTGAAAATACTCCTTCTCATTCTCACAAAGAGCTCACATGTTTTTAAAAACATCTCTCAAGCTGATTAGAATGCACAGGCTAATGAGATAATGATCACATGTGAGACTGGGAAGTACCTAAATGTTTTTTCTCTGCTTGAAAAGGCACATTTCTCTGCTGGCTTTTCAAAAAATGTAAAATCCAAATAACATCTCTACCTAGGTAACAACCAAAAGAAAACTTTCCTGCAGTCTCAGGAAATGCCTTATGTATGAGTACTTACTTTTTTTAAAAAAATGACAATGTGAAGTACTGCCAATCACCAAAGTAATAACACTTTTTAATCCATTTCTTAAACTCCTTGCATCTGCTGCAACATAACATCATGCTTGCAGTAGAAAACAACTAAATACCAACTAATCTTTGGTAAGAGCATGTAGCTGGGCTCTTTTTGCAAGAAAAAACAAAGTATTTTGCATAATTTACTGCTCATTGAAAGAAGGGCAAAGCATGCACATGTATAATATGCAGTGGTTTGTTTCTTCATGAGACTTAAAATATCTTTAGCTCATTGTAAAACAACTTGATTCCCAATGCGGACATCTCTAAACCACAGTGTGGCCAATTAACAAAAATAGCACATAATGACACTGAATTGGTGACAAAAGCAGCCTAGCTCAGTAGTCCCAATGTTTGTACATGCTCTGGTTATTTGTGCCACCTGCTTCACAATTCAGCTTTGTCTTGATTGCAGAGAGCAGGTCTCTTAGATGAATATGACTGATTCTGTAAGTACTCCTGTTCCTCTGAAGAATGTATCTCCTTGCAGCTACATATCAGAGCATTCCACAACACCACAAAATACGCAGTTCAGTCTTCACCTTCCTTTTCCCTCAACTCTAGGAATACGCTAAGGTGACATATTTAATCAGACAGACTCCTCCCAGAAGCTTATAAAGGTGCTGAAAAATAGAGAAGTGTTTCACACTCTGTAGTCTGAGAAGCCTGAAAATCTTGAAGTGACACAATTGAGAACAACAACTAAGAATAAATGGCAAATGCAATTTGGCTTGTTTCAGTGCTTAACATCCTAAGCCTTGACTCTCCACCACCACCCACCTCTACAATACACAAAAGCACAAATGCAATACTGTAATTTTTGTGAAAGCACTACTTGTTTAAATATTTGAGTATGTAGAGTGCCTCTACCATAGGTGCAGCTTTATTCAGAAAAAAATAGAACTAATTTCTAATTCTAACTGCTTTGTTCACTTCATGGCTTTCTTGGCTGGTTATTTGATTAAAATAAAGATCTTTTGTCCTGTTATTAAGACTCTACGAAAATATGTTGCCAACTGACTTAAGATGACAGACACAAGATCTTTTATTTCCCATGCTTTCTAAATGTTACATTTGTCCTTAATACCATGGTGTATCTGAGAAAGAGGACAAAGAGGTGCGTATTGCCTCTATATTCTAAGAATGCACAATTAGACTAATATATCACAAATAAGTGCCATAAACACAACATTTCTTAATACTATTACAGAATTCACTAACCTCTCTGGTTTTGGTGCAGAAAGGCTCAGCCATTGGAATATGACATACTCCTGAGAGAGTGGAATGCTGTCCATCATATAAAGTACAATGTCTTTTAGTTGTCCTAGAAAAGCAGAAAACTTGCTTAGAGAGAACAGAAAGAGAAAGCAACAAATTGACACAAACCAAAAAACACAGCATCCCTGGGAGTGGAAGAAAAAATCAGGATGATATTAGTGACCACCAGTAATCCTATTCTGCCTCTGCACAAACCTTTGCGAATAGAGCTGGAGACCACAAAACTGTTACTCCACTAGTCCACTGTCAATTCATGATGAAAATCTTTTGTTAACCAAGACAGTGAAATGCTGATTTGTTCCTAAATGACACAAACAGCCCTATTGTGATGCGATTCTACCGCAAAACAACCAGCTAAATTATTAGTCAGGCATGTAACCTCTGGAAAAACTTGTAAGTAATCTTTAAGAAAGGGAAGAAATAAAATCACAACTACCACAAGGCGAGTCAAAATAGAACTTGTTTGTATCACTGCATTCCTATATCCCAAAGGATAGGAATTTACAGAAACGGCTTTTAGCACGAAGGAAATGTAAATTCCACTAGAAAAAAACCTTGGAACAGAATGTTCTGAGAATTTCATATTCTCAGAAAGATCACACACACATGCAGTGCCAGCTTCCAAGTAAAAGAATCCTTTTTCTCTCTTCTTGCAATGGATGGAAATGGTCAAGCGTTGAAATTACCATTCAGCACGCCATTTTGGAACACATGGAACTCCTACCCACTACCACTTTACCCTCAAAAGCACTGCCTCAAGCTAATCCACCCAACTGGATGGTGCAAACCATCTGAAATAATGTTCTCAGACACTCCCTTCTTCCCTGCAGTATGTCACATACTCTGCTTTACAGGAGAAAATAAAGACAATAGCCAAATTCAATCTGCAGTTGGAATACAAAGTATCTGCTGGTAATACTTTTTATAACAGCTCCACAGTAAAGTCACTAGGAAATATTTAAAAGAAACCTTTAAATACAATTTATATGTTAGAGTAGGTTTGCACAAAAAAACCGCATCAAAAATGCATCAATAGGATGCACTAAGAATGAAAGTACTGCCAAAGACCAATTCTTAAGAATGAGATTATAAAACAGGAAAGAGATGGACAAATTAAAAACATCTGGAAAATGTGATACAGCTGTTAAAATCAGTTGAAACACTAAAATTAATTCTTCCTTTATGGGATATTGAAAAGCTGCAAATAGAATATATGTGATTTTTCACACTTTTCTATTTTGTCTGCTAATGAATTATTTAGAGTTGGAGGAAATGGTAAAAGCCACAATCCATTTCCTGAATTATAGTATTTCCGATGCTGTTAGCTAGGCACTTTCAATAGGAAAAGCCCAAGGAAAGATCTCATTTGCATAAATATTAATATCTGACTTTCAGATACTCTGTGTTATTTGAAGAGAATGGCCACATCATTATATGGCCTCATAAAGAAATCCCACTACGTTTTGCATAATTCATACAAACTGTATGGGACTAAGTAACAACAGTAAATTCTATAAATGCTTTGAGTAATAGACCACATGTGTTCACACTTAGATAATTTCTCTTCTCCATCTGCTGTAGTTTAAACCCACCTGGAAATTAAACCCCATTAAGCCCCTGTACCTACAGCAACAGTTGCACTTTTAATCTGACAAAAAGGTGGCTTTTGCTCCTTCATTTTGGTTTTATCACAGTAACACAGGACTTTCTGGCAAATCTCACCGTGACTGATTGTAGGAAGCAAAATACAACTCAAACAAATAAACAAACCAGTAATTTCCATCTGTGACAAACAGCCCTCTACCATTTCCATCATCACCTTCATTCTTCTTCCAGTAGTGTTGAATTATCAAACTACTGGTAATTAAAGAACAAAATGTAAATTCAGACTGGCATAAGCACATAAAAAGCAGACTCAGCATGCTCAGCATGATCAGCAACTTCAGGGACACTGGAAGAAAATTCTACAAAAAAAAATTTACAAGGTGTGACAATATTGCAGTAATTGTAGTTGTGTTTGTGACACAGAGAACAAAAACTGTAAAACTGGCAGCTGTTACAGGAAGCTATTTTCTGAATCTCCCCAGCTGAGCTCAGTCATTCAAGTAAGTAGTTATTGTCTTGCTCTTTTCTTCCTAGCAAATATCAGCAGCAAACCAAACAAAGTATTCTAAAGCCCTAAATTATCCTGATGTTGTCAACTGATTAACAGTACTCCAATTAACAGGAGTCAAAGGCAGAAAAAAATTATACTTAAAGTACCTTTTTAAAGAAGAGAACAGCTTTTGCAGCCTATAGTAGTAAGTGGTTATTTTTGGATTTGGAAGCAAGGAGAACACAATATATGTATTTTTGTATTTATTTAATAATATGTATATTTTATTGTTTAAATACACAAAATAATAAGCATGAAGAAAGCAGAGATTATATATGGAATCAAACACTAAGTGTGGTAATGACCTGCAGAATTAGGCTCTCAAAAGTTTGGAAATCTTATACAGTTGTAATTATACCTATTCAGTGTTTCACACTGAAAATCAAACCCATGTTAGGCAGAAGTCCTACACAACTCCTTATATTGCAATCCTGTCATTAATTTCACGGTGCACATGCCAAGGAGAGCAAATTACAGTAGCTGCCAACAGTTTTTTTCTGAGCTCTAGCTCTTCTCCAATTCATATTCACTATTCCTTCTTTTTGCTTCACACCTATAAGGAGAATTGAGAATAGGAATTCTCCCTATTGAGAATATATATAGCGAGAGTCCAGATACTAAAAGGTACCTGGACACCAGAAGACCCTGTTTTAATGGTGGCCTGAGTAAAGCCTTGACACCTAGACCATGACTTCTTTCCTATGTACTGCCTGGCATGGGTTAACCACTATACAGAAGCCAGAATCCCTTTCAAGAGAAATAACTGACTGTTTTTGCAAATTTAACCAGTACCATCTTTCTAAGACTATCAACATTGTTTGCATGACCCTGATCTTCCATTAGAAGGTATTTCAGTAACATTCCATATTTTCAGACTTTGGTCGACAACTAAAATATTCCGTCCCACGAAAATATCTTCCCATCAGTAGCACTGTTGGCATAATGATTTATATAATGCAATCACTCTTAGACTGCTGTGAAGGGCTAAATGCAGACCCTATCTCCAAAGACCTGGCAGTCTAACACTCCCTGGCAGAGAACATTATGAGAAAAAGGCATGACACAGAAATTCAGCTGTCAAAAGAGACAGACTATTACAATGTATCAGTTTTCTGAATTAAACTGCACGTTGGGGATGATTTAAAAATTCATATTACATTTAATTTTCCACACTGAAACATTTTCACATGCTTTTCTGAGAAGCTTTTTGGTTTCCTGATGCCATTAAACAAGTCACAACAAGTTTCCACTTGCCTACATCAAAACGGAAACTTACTTGCCCAAACAAAACGCTGCTCATAAATAGGTTACACCATTACTTCTGGTGACCATCTGAATAAACTCTAAATGAAAACAGAGATCACAGAACAGCTGAGGATAGAAGTGGGCTCTGGAGGTCCCCCTAGAACGGGTTGTCCTGGTCCATATCCAGAGGCTTTCAGTACCTCCAAGGACAGAGACTGCCACCTTTCTGGGCAACCTGTGCCAGTACTCAGTCACCTTCAGTAAAAAGTGTTCACTGATGCTCAGAGGGAATGTTCTGTGTTTCAGTCTGTTCCTACTGCCTCTGATCCTGGGCACTGCTGGACAGAGATTGGTTTCTTCTATGCACCCTCCCTTCAGGTATTTCTACACATCAATGATGTTCCCCTTGAGTCCAGTCTTTTTCAGGCTGAACAGTCCCACTGCCTCAGCCTCTCCTCTTAGGAGAGATGCTCCAGTCCTTTAGCATCTTCATCATTCGCTGTTGGGCTCTCTCTATAATGTCCATGTCCAAATTGCATTGTACAGCCCAGAACTGCATACAGTACTCCAGGTGTGGTTCACCAATGGCAAATAGAGACTCCTGCCACTCACACAGGAGTCTGCCAGGTGATAATGCAGTCAAAATAACTGGTGCTTGACTCACAATCATCCAAACCATATCCCCAGGTCTGTTTAATATCTTTCCTCCATACACCAGTATCAATATTAAAAAAAAAAAAAAAGAGTATTATCAGCAATATAGCTCATATTCACCCATAAATCAACTCTAGTATAACAGGAAGCATTTTATATGGGGCTTGACCCTGCAGGGTACTTAATAATTTAGGCACACTGTACCTAAAACCTATTCTTACAATAAAAAAAGCATTTCAATTACACATGCAAAAAGAAAGTAAGTCAAAATTTGAACAGCACTGCAGTGCAGGGAACAAACCTAGGTTTACATGTTCAGTTGGCAAGGAAATACTACCAGCAGCACCACATATATCCAATGAAGCTGCATCAGCCATTCTAAATTCTTCAAACTATGCGGAATAAATAAGACTTCAAGATATAATACTCCTACAAGTATTAAGTAAATTTACCTTTAAAATGTGCAACCAGATCTTTGAGTTATTGGTGTAGCTGGTGATCTTTAAATGTAGCTTTATTTTGCCCCAGCTTTGCTTGAATTTTTCTAGTCAGACGATCAAGGAGGACAGGACTGGCTGGTGTACAAAGACTTTGGAAACAAATTTACTTCCTTATGATTCCTAACAAATAAGATATGTAAGCATCTATTCTTGTTTTAAAACAACCTAATCTCTTTTGCTACTGTGCTGCATTTATCTCTCTTCTGCAGGACCTCATTATTATGACACATATTTACATGCTATGCTTTCTTGTACCACTACATCTCATTTCAGATTCTTCATAAAGCTTGGAATGGTCTGTGCTTTTATTCATGTTTCTCTCCCACATGTGAGAATGGAAGATTTCATTCTGAATAGTCTTCCCACAGAGCTACACTTTGGCTCATTTATGGCCATTCTTCAAAGCCTAGTACTTCTGTGTCTGTTAGAATGGAACTTCTTACAATCATATTCCCATTTCCTATTGTATTTTTTGTATGAATTTTACTTTTTGACAGAAGAACTGAGGTTATCATCTTATTTTACAAAAACTTAATTTAACACGAACATGTTATTATATGATTTAACCCTGCTTCTCCTCTTTTTCCTCCTTCTTACTCACCTGTCTATGAACTGGTCAATTATGACAAGATCACCAGGTTGTATTTCCTCTCGTAACGAGCCACAGGCAGTAGTCACTAATACATGGGAACAATTTTCTTCCTTTAATGCCCAGATATTAGCACGGTAATTGACGTTCGATGGCATAATTGTATGATGCCTTCCATGTCTGCAAAGATATATGAAACAAGAAAGTAAAATAAATCAGACTGAAATTGCCTTCCTTCTCCCAAATAAGGAGAATTTCAGGAAACATATTTCCCCTAACAATATTGGAAGTGGCCATTTCAGCTACTTCTAGCATATTCTGTTTTCCTAAATGTATTGAGCTTCTCCTGGAATTCAATTTAAGAAGCAGTAGTATAATTTTCTTTTCAAATACAAAATTTTAAGTTCAAGACTACAATAAAAAGAATCTTAAAAATACAATTCAAATATACTTCAGCAGCCTCAAGATTAAAATAAACATTTTTCTCTGAATCTTCTAAGTCAGTTCCACAGATTCTGAAACCTTTTTTCCAAAGACTACAGGGAAGATTTATATACACCTCCACAAATTTTCTGCCCAGAAGCATTGCTTGTATTCTTCTACACAAAGAGCGGCACATCACAAAACATTGTGTTCTAACTGTCATCTTTCCAAAAAAAAACAGTAGAATCATCACATTTTTCTCTTTGATCTTTAAGTGATCTGACAGCTTTCATAAATTAAAAAGCATGACTTCACACTGCTGCAGTATTCTTTTTCACCAAGACAGGAAATATTTGGTCTTATAAGCATAAGCTTTTGTGCTATCTCCGTCTTTGCTACAGAAGCACATCATTTACGTGATTAAACACATTAGAAAATTATTTTCAACCACGTAAGAGAAAAGAAGGAACTTAATTTCTCAACTGATTTTTTCCAGAGGCCAAAAAGCCCTAAGAATTTGATCATTCAGGAACTACACACAACATGATCAATCACGGTCAGTCAGGATTCCCATGCTGTCATTAGCATTTCTGATAAGCTACTAGGCACACAGATCTATTGCATTATTGCAGTTGCTGTCATAATCTTCTTATGGAATATACATGCCTTTTATTTTCCAATCTGAAGCCAAAACACAAAGAAAAATTTGCAGATTAGCCCTTAGCCCTAAAAATAAACTTAGGAGGTTTCTGTATGAATGGTCATAAATCCCAGGGAGAAGGTAAACCACAGCCAAGTTGTTCAGACATCTGTGGTCCAAGGTCTAGCTTGAAACAGTACAGCAATGAGAACTTGACTTAGCAGTTCATTTGAGAAAATGAGAAAAATGTTGTCCAGGTGTAACAAAATACATGAACAAAGTCCATGAAAGATAAGAAAAGTAAAACCACAGACACAAGCGTCACAGAGATGGCTAGCAGTCAGCAGCTTTAATGGAAAAACACTGGAATGAAAAGAATCAGGGCCCTGAGTGCACCCACTGAGTCTTAAGTGCCCTGGCCAGTCTCACCCTGGGCCTCCACAGAAACTCCTGATGCCGGTGAGCCTGGGTCTTCACCCCTGGCCTGAGCTATGTCACAGTGTGCCAGTCCCCAACTCAGTCTCCCCCACAGCCTTCAGACCTACGCTGTAGTTTGTATCCAGAGCAGGATGGGCTTTAGACACACACTACAGTCTTCTCTCTCACCCCCTAAGGTTCCTGCCTGGGTTCCCTGGATGGATCCTGTGCTTTTTTAATTACCTTGACTTGGTCTGCTGAGAGACCCTGTCACCAGCACCTGCTGTGTCCATTCTACCCAGATGTCATGAACTGTGTTAGTATTCTTACATTTAATCCAGTAGCATGTTGGTCCAAGACACCCATGGTTACACCGGTGTGAAATTTCCACACATTCCTCTGCAGATCCTGCTTCCAGATTCTCTTTAAGTACAGTAGAAATGTCTGAATAAAAACTATATAGGGAGGGAGAACTGCAGGGGATGCAGATCCCTAAGCAATAATTGTAACAGCAAGAGGACTCAATAATCTAAGGGAATGATTTGGAGGAGTTTACAGTGGTACCAGAGACATAGTTCATCTGGAAGCAGACATTTTCTCTATTTCTCAAAGAAAATCTGCAATCATAGTGAGCAGATGAATTAATTAGTAAGGTTATCAGCATCACCTCCCACTAGATTTTTTTTTAGCTAACCTAGACAGCATTTTTAAAACTCTCAGACCTTGCAGCATCTAACTTTTTTAAGAAAAAACCCAAACTTGTGCTCAACTTTGCCAGCAACCCCACAGAGCAAGATGATGTCAGAGCAGAAGTTCAGTTCACCTAATGAAAAGAGAAAAAATTCTGAGAAGACTTTAAGACGTATAATACAAACACCCTTAAAACTCCCATTTACCTTGCCAAGAGCACACAGTCCACATTTTTGATCTTTCCCAAAATCAGAGCATCCGACGGCTGCAAGACAAGCACATAGGAATGAGTTACCATCTGACGATCACATTCCAAACCTTTACTACTACCTAAAAATAACTGCAACAGTTACAGAAGAAAATACTGGTTACCATTGTAGTCTCACATTTTCTTGAGCTCAGTTCTGTAATTTGATATGGCAGGTTAGTAAAGCACCCTGGAACAGGAAGATCAAACTTGAAATAGGAAGGATTACCACAAATTTTCTGTGTTCATACAAAAATTAACATTGCAACACTTTACTTTGGGGTTTGAAACTGTAATACTTTCTATCATATCAAAAGAGTATTTCAAACACAAAAATAGTAGCATGCACATGTTACCATCAAATTGGTTAGCAAGACTCACTCTTTCCTGTAAACTTCAGATTCTTTTTGCTAAATAGGTGCCATTCTCTACTAAAGCCCTCTTCCAGCATAAAAACCATTTAATCTGTGTGTTTCCATAACACTCGCCATTCTCTTCTCTGTCTGCTTTCTAATGTGGGCTCGCAGTAGGGTGTGAAGAGTTCTGGATTCCTTCAACCCATCCCTCACTCAACCCCAGCTTCCTGAAAAACTCTCTTCCCTGCTGCTGGGACTCCTGCTTTTGGTAAATGAAATGTGATGTAACAGAGAAATTCTGGTACATAAGTGGCAGAAGCAGTGTTGTATTTGCTCAGCCCAGGGCAACAACAAGTTTAAACAACAAGTAAACACAATCTTCCTGACTACCAACCAACCAGAACAATAGAACATTTTGATTTTAGCTGTCCAGCTGGAACATGTACCTTGCCACACAGATGTGTTGTCCCGCCCATAAGAGGCAGCCACCAAGTCATCAGTCACCATTACAATAAATTAACTGCTCTGTGGGCTGCGTTCTGCTCCTGGCCTTCAGGGATCTGTAATATACTATGCAGTAACTTTCCTTTTTGTTAAAACAGCTACTAACAAAACCATGGTTTATTTACTGATCACAAGTTTGCAAGTGTCTTCACTCACACATTTGCATTTAGAAATGTTCTGCTGCCAGCTACTTGATGGAAAAGAAATAAAATTATAATGCTAGATGCAAGATTTCAATTAGCATTTATCTAATAAATAGTTAACACTATAATATTATTTTAATAACTATTATAATTATAATATATTTTCTATAATTATAATTATAATATATAACATTATAATATTATAAAATACTATTATAATATACAAATTTTAAATATTATAATAATAAAAAATAAATAATTATAATTAAACAGTTAATATTAAACGATTGATATTCAAGTGTTTAATCTTTACCTTACATACACTCTTCTCAAACAAACATGGCTTTAAGAATGAAATTTCACACAGGGCCAGAGCCTTGCTGTCTAGTGGTCGCAGCAACTTGCCATTACAGCATTCCATAACAAGGAATGTTCACAAAAATTAGCATTTGGGATTTTGTTTTGTTTACACACATTTGCTGTGTTAAGTAATACGCACTTATTAAAACTGGGGACTTAAGTCCCCAAAAGACTATAAAAATACTATTAAAAACTAAAGAGCAAAAGTTCTTGCCTCCTATCAAAAAGATCAGCAACTTGAAGACTGGGCTCTTTTCTTTATAAGTAACACATTCAAATTATTCCAAGAGGTAGATTTAAGTTTATACCCATTTTCAAAAGACGTGGGGTAGTATGATATTCATTCCCACCACAGAACTGCACTGAATTCTGGCATACATTGATGATGAGAAAGAGCATAACAGCTTTGAAATTCACAGGCTTCAAAATCTAGTTGCTGCAGCCAGGGTTTCCTTCCCTATCAGCTCATATCCTACTACTTCAAAAAGCCTCAGGATAGTTGACACCTTTGCACTGATTTCCATGAAATGCATTCTGCACATTTTCCATGTCTGATACTGAATATCTTTTTGGCATAGGACTTCTAGAAAAATGGAAGAGAAAAATAAATACTTTGAACAAAGAGAGCACTGCTGAATGATGAGTGGACAGTTTAAGAAAAGAATTGCAGATACTGCATCACGCTTCATTAAAAGACATTAAATAAAAATCACACAATCACACAATTGTTAGGGTTGGAAAAGACCTGTGGAGATCTGCTAGCCCAGCCTTCTGGCCAAGGCAGGCTCGCCTAGGTTACACAAGGACACATCCCAGTGGGGTTTGAGTGTCTCCAGCAAGGGAGGCTCCGTGATCTCATTGGGCAGCCTGTTCCAGTGCTCTGTCATTGTCAATGTACAGAAATTCTTCCTCATATTGTGTTTTAATTTATGGCCATTGCTGCTTATCCTGTCACTGAGCACCACTGAAAAGAGTCTGGTGTCATCTGCTGGGCACCCACCTTTAAAATATTTGTATGTACTGACATGATCCCCTCTCAGTCATCTCCTCTCTGGACTCAGAAGGCCCAGCTTCAACAGTCTCTCTCCGTAAGGGAGACACTCCAGACCCTGAATCACCTCTATGGCTCTGCCAGACCCTTTCTAGTGGCTCCTTGTCTTCCTTGTACTGAAGAACTCAGAACTCAACACAGCACTCCATATGTAGCCTCAACAGGGCCAGGTAAAGGGGGAATCACAGCCCTTGACCTGCTGGCCATGCTCTAGCTGCTGAACCCCAGGACAGCACTGGCCCTCCTGACTGCAAGGGTGAACTTGTCACCCACCACCCCAGGTTCTTCTCCACAGAGCTGCTTTCCAGCAGGTCAGCCCCCAGCTGTGCTGGTACTTGGGGTTATTCCCACCCCAGGTGGGAATTCAACCCCAGGTGCAGGATTCTAAATTCGCCCTTGTTAAATAGGTTTCTCTATTCCCAATTCTCCAGACTAAGGTCCCTCTGAGTGGCAGAAAAGCCTTTGGGTGTGTCAGCCACTCCCCCCAGTTTTGTATCATCTGTAAACTGGCCCAGGGTTCATTCTATCCCTCCATCCAGGTAGCTTGTAAAGAGATTGAATAGCTGGACCAACTATTGATATGTGCATAAAGTTACAGAAACAGACATTTCAAACTATATGTTAACTATGTAACACAGCTAATGTATACTTCCATTCTGCTTTCTTTCCACCGCTACTTCTTTCCAAGCGCTGTACCTCTCTACTATTATCTCAGTCATAGATAATAGTCAGGAAAACTTTCAATGGAACAATTTGAAATCAAAGCTCTAATACGGTATTTTAAAAGGATGATTTAATAAAAGGTCCAATAAAAAGTTCTCAAACATTAAAAATTCATAAATGTCTTTAACTACTTCCCTCTTTTCACAAAATACAAGTCAGATACATATTACTTATTGTTGCAAAACAGAAAAGAAAGAATAGAACCCTGGGCAATTAACCCCAAATTATTACAATAACAATCGGAACAAATCCCCTTTGTCTATAACGTTAATATGCATAAAGTACCGTTCATGTGGTGTCTACAGAATTAATTTTTCCGTTGGTCTCACCTCAGAGGCTAGCTGGAACAGAAACAGAATGAATACAGAACACTCATGATGAAAAAGTACTTCAGAGGTTCTCCAAGCCTCTGTTCAACCTGTGAGCTAGTTTAGGAACCAAACAATGTACATTGTTTTGGGGAGGTAGAAGAGGAGATTAAGTATTATGTTACATGGTGAGGTTTTCCTGATGCATCAAGTTATCCTGATGCAAGCAAAAAACGCTCAATTGAAAGGTGAAACTACCCCCTGCTTTGTCTGCCAGATATATTTATGACCAGAAAAAAACACAGAGTCCGTAGAATAATTTTCTAGAGTGGGAAGATCTCTTGCCCACCAGGGAAGGTGATTTAGAATCAAGATCTGTCATCCAGAAAGAAAGAGAAGTAGCTGAAAATATATTCTGAACAAAGCCTTTTAGGAGCTTCAGAATTCAGTAAAGAAGACAAAATTGCTTGCAACAGCATCTATTATCCTGTAGAAGACTAATATTTTCCATATCTGGAAATAGAATCTCAAAAGGTTTTGGGATATTTTCCATAGAATATCAAATTTTTGATGTACTGAAAATGATGGAAGTCAAGGAGAAAAGACAGCTGGAATATTAAGAGCTGTTAGCTTACTCAGTTTTTTTAAAAACTATTGTTTCTGCATTTTCACTATTACTAATGTAACTTGATAGATCATAGAGGACGAATGTCAACATAGGGAACAGCAAAAAATTATCATAATAGTTTCCTTTAAACTTTTCCATATTTCCCACATTCCCTAATGCTAAATTTTGTAGTTAAATGATTCTTAGGATTCAAGAAGGCCAAAGCAGAAGACAATTCAAGGACTCTGTATGAAGAAAAAGGAAGCTATCATTAATCTTTTAAAAGAAAACAGAATTTTTCATAAAAGAAAAATCTGTTTTGCTGCTGTCAAATGTCAAAGGTGCCAAGGAACATCTACCCCAGAACGCTTGTCAGTCAAAAATCTTTTGGTACAAGTTTCCTTGTCTAGAAACCTAAGAATTAAAGATTTAAGTGAAGTGGAATTGTATGCTTTGCATTTTTACGATGCAGAAGGAAATGGACATACATTCTAGTAACTGTGCCTTGCAATTTCCTTTAGACATTCATTCATTCTTCCTCATTCTTCCTAGTTTTGCTTGAACTAAATAGGTTGATATTTCATCTCTGTTTCTCTCAGAAAATCAAAGACCACAAAGTTCCAAAGTCTATTTAAATTAAGCCCTTTACTTAAAATTTCAGGCAGATTATCTCTCCACTGATTTCACAGCTCTATGAAAAAGTATCTTTATGGCAGAAAAGTCCCAATTTGGTATTACTCCAGTAACAATCAAGAACAAAACATAACTTTAGGAAAAAACAGTAACAAACTATAAACTTCTAAACTTTTCCAGGCATACTTAAATAAAAATAAAACTGTTCTCTTGCATTCAGCAACAGCTGTTCCTCTCAACTATGTAGCTCTAAAATGAGTGGTAGGTTGTGTAACACCTCCTTCCTGAATACTAAACAGTCTCATCAGCAAAGTAAGCGAATATTGATCCACCTAATAATACTAATTGAATTTGAGGTTTTTTTCTGCTTCAATCAAAATCCATTGCAGTTTGTGCAACTGTAACTTGTGGACTAAGCTCTGCACATCTTACACGAAGGCTGATCCATCAACTGCTGAACTGGAAACTGCATTCAGTGGATGAAGTTAATGTGATTCTTTACAGGAGGAAATCTACATGAAACAACCATCAGGTCAATGGCCTGATTACCAGAAGTTTAGATCTACAGAGAGAAAGAAGGAAGACAGGCCATTACAGGTAAAAGATAAAAGCCCGTTTGGATGTGCTATCTTTCTTTGACTGACCTGATTCCATTCAGGTCAGCTTAACCATCCCATTTTAACTCAGGACATTATCTGGAATTCAGGCTTGGACCCATATAATGGTATCTCAGTTCTATTCTCATCCCCCTCACACAAAGAAAAAATATTCATGAGCTCTTTTATTTTAAGTTCAGCCTATGCTAAATGTGTAACATGCAGGCTCAGACACAGGCAGCCCATTGATCAAGGTCTCTCACAACCACAACAGGCACCAACATTAATTTTTCTGCTATTTATGTTGCATTCTGTGAAGAACACAGAAAAAAAAAATCCCACTAGATAAACTACTTACTAGTTTAAAAAAAAAAAATAGTAAAATAGCCTTCCGTACTGACCAATGGTGCATGGCTGATGAAGATTATTTCACTCCTTCATGCAGGAGCCATCCTGCAAGTATTCCTACTCTTCTCAGGAATACTGAACCCTACTGTAGGCCACTTATTGCACTGCAGAAATTGCATTCCCCAAATCCTGTGGCACCTCAATGCTGTGACAGAACAGACCTTCAAATGCTGTGCTGCCACTGTGCCCTTAACTCTTGAAACAGAAACCTGTGAGGGAGAAGTGTTCCATCTGTCCTAGATAGGAAAGCTTCAGTTGGTATCTGCTACAAGCATAGCATTACTTCTGCTTTGTCAGCAGTCTCCGAACACATCCATGCTGTGACGAACATCCAATATTCTCAAGAAACAGGGAATGGAATGGCAACTGGTTTGGTTTAGCCAGTAGATTCCCCTTCAGACCAAAGCTGGCTACTGTTGGAAACCAGAGTAAAGAAAACAGAGGACGTAAGTTCCCTTCATACTATTACAACTTTTAACTAATTCTGAAAGAGGATAGAAAAGTCAAATGCATTCTTCTGATTATGTCTTCACTTCCCTTAATATACCTCCCCTTCCTAATGGTGTGGATACAAACTCCTCTTGCTCTTTACACTCCATTTTAAACCGTTTTTCAGTGGAGGCATGGATTCAGTTTTCAGTCACACACCATGCCACTGAGTTTTCTGCCAAGCTTCCAGTCACAAAATAGCATTTGCTACCAGATACCATATTTGTTGTATGTATACCAGCATACACTGGCAGACTGAATAAGATATAATTCCAATGGCAATTATAAAGCACTCAGACTCCTCAAGTCCTGATTACCTAAGTTCCAATTCTTCTATGAGCTTTGTTTGACAACTAGAACATCTCTCCCCCTTGACTTCCTGCCTATAAAACTCCTTCCTCCTTTGTGTTGTCTGCTTGTACTATAAATGCTTTGTGCCAGGAATTACCCTACAAAAGGTACCCAGCGCTGTGTATAGAACAAACAGCCCTAGCCACCACTCCCTTCTGCTAAGGAAAAGGACAGAAGCAATGTAAAGGAGAATTGTTCAGGTGTACCAGTCTCACAAACACAGTTTCAGAGCTTAATTTTCAAATAATTTTCAAATTATGTGGCTATAAGCATGATCTTACATTGGCATGTAAAACATAATCAATCAGTTACAGGGAAAATGGTGTCTCATATACCTCAAAGAAGAGTTTTCTGCAATTCAGAAAGATGACAGATAATACAGGTCATGCACCAGTACAAATCTGAAAGACAGGACTTATCCCTTGATTGTAAATTCAGCAGTGAGTTTCTAAATTCATCCAATCTACAAATGAGAAGAGGTATAGTCTCCTTTGCACATCATCTTTGCAATAATACTTTGTTTTTACAAACTAAGAATCCCACAATACATAGCAATTAAAAACAGTTGTGCCAGCACCTCCTTTATATATTCATTTATCATTCTGAAAATTCTTAAAGCATACAAACTTCTTGAAAATTGGCAAAAAGTTTCAGTAATAAATAAAAAGGTTATACAGACCTTGCCATAAGGAGTGTCAACATATTTTTCTGTTCTTCCTTCTAAGATATCCGGATCATCCAGGCCAGTTCCACCAATAATTCCAATCTTACACAGAAAGTACACATTAGTCTTCTTGCAATTCACATTTAACTGCATGCTTGAAAAACTAACCAGGCAGCTACAAAATGTATCTTCTTCTCAAGATGAGGATAGACAACAGATCAACAAAGCATAGTATGCCCAGCACACTTCCAGAATGCAAATTTCAAACACCTGATTTAAACAACTGTATTTAGCTTGCTAATTTCTTACCCCATGAATCATGATTTAAGATACCAAATTAATAAAGCTATGAACAAATGCACAAAGATGTGCCATTAAACATTTATTTCCAGTATAAAAATTAAGACTATTTGGGAATGCCTGTAATGAGTGAGAAATACATGTGGAAAGCCCACTAAAACAAAGGTTTTTTGTTTATATAGACAAAAAGTCTTACATATAACCACCACACTGAATATCAGGCTGTCATGTTTTTAAGCCCAACTGGAAGTTAAGCACCACACAGCTGCTTGCTAAAACCTTGCTTCTTTCCTCTTGCACTGTGGTGGAACAGGGAGTGGAATCAAAGTAAAACTTGTATGTTGATATAAGAAACGTTTAATAACTGAAAATTAAGTAAAATGTTATAATAAGGGTAAATGATAGTAATAATAATAAAAAAGGAAAAAACCAGTGATGCACAAGACAACTGCTCTGCACCCATTGACTGATGCCAGACCCCATTCCCAAAACCAGAATGGCCACCCTCTGGGTAACTCCCTCAGTTTATACAGTGGGCATGATGTCCCATGGTGTGGAATATCCCTTCAATCAGTTTAGGTCACCTGTCCCAGCTATGCTCCCTCCCAATTTTGTTTCCCTCCCTGTCACAGCACAAGACAGGGAAAAAAGTCCTTGATTTTGGATTAACATGACTCAGCAAAACCCAAAACATCAGTGTGTTATCAACACCATTCTCATTCTGAATCCAAAACACAGCACTGGAACAGCTACTGAGGGGAAATTAACTTTACTATAGCCGTAACCAGGACACAGACATTTCTATATGGTATTATACCTCCAAAAGAAAGAAAACTGTGGAAAAAAATTAGTTTTCTGTGCTGATTCGACAAAATCTAAGAGGTTTTCCAACTAAAATCCCTGTTGTGTTTTGATTTGCCTGTGATTGCACATTCCAGCTAAGAAAAATGCATCTAATTTTTCCTGTTTCTAGTTCATCATTGAAAAGTAACTTGGTTTTTGTCTCTCTAGGGATAATTAGATTTTCAATCAAGTCAAGCTTTTTCTTGAACTCCCGTAACTCTTCAGATGGAACTGTTATTGTCAAGCTTTTCACAACTGAACTCTTAGTAATGGTACTTAAAAGTGATGTCACCGTTTATCACACACAGAGAAAAAGAGTGCTTCTTTTTTTTTCTTCAATGTGACCAGTTGTTGCAAAGTTCGCATCACTTTCAAGTTGAATATATATCATGACTGATTTGCTTCAAAATCTGAACCTTTCTGATGTAACTTATTACCACAAAGACTGAAAACTTCCCAAGTAAAACCTCCAGACTCCCAACATACAAAACCCTCCTTCCACAACACACGGAGAGCTGCCTCATTCTCCAGCTTTTTCTTACTTTCACATTCGTAGAGGCCCCATCTGTTCAACCACTGTATTAGCTGGCTCATTAAGCGCTTCTTTTCAACAATGAGAGACTTTGTGGTCTTGGTTACAAATAAACACCTCTAGCAAAGCTTTCCACAGCCGGTGGTGCAAATGCCGATACATGAGATGGTTTCAACCGGGCTCCTACTTCCTTCTGCTACCCCCCTGTGGAGCACGAGAATAAGTGCAAAGGCAAACAGCAGTGCTGACAGCAGCGCTAACCCACATACTCTGACCCGGAATACATACACAAGCTTTAGGGAAGACCTAGACTACTCTTTGCAGTAATACTGATGGGTCTGTTCCCGTGTTACTCGTGTTGCTTAGTTATCATAAAGGTTCTGACTTGGATTGCTCATGAAAATCCTGAAAATTACATACACTTTAGGATGAATAACAAATTGCCTTAAGAATTGTGAAAGGTATGAAACAGGAACAACCACAAAACTCAAAATCAAGAAAACACTATCTTTAACACTGTTCACGCATATGTTCAGTAAACACTGATGATTGCTACATTGCCAGAGGACAGGACCAAAATGGTGCCTTTTTTATTTTTTTTCAATTTGGGGAGAAAAAAAAAGGGTTCCTTCAGTTACTTTATTGGTTTTAGCTGGGTATAACACTTGTTTTACTAGTGTCCTATGACTTAGGATTCAAAAGGGAACTAAACTTTTACATCTAGCAAATTGAAAGTTGTTGGGACTGAGGAAAAACGTGCAATGCTGGAGAGAGCAGCTAAAGATGCACAACATAAAAGTTACTTTGGAGCTGCAGTGCTTTAAGGTTATTATAAACACACAGATCCATCACAGTAACAAACAGACTGTTCCTGTACAGAAAGCAGCATGCCTGGCCTGTGGCAGCACAGGCCTGGTGTGGTTGCTCTCAAGTTTGCTCTCAGGCTCCATAACCCAGGGGCTGCAGCGGCATCAATACCTACTTTGGCTGCACTGTTCAGCTCCTGCGCAGGCTTTTACACCAAGAGGCACGCTGTCAGAAATTGCAGACTGCAATGAGCTTGCAAAATATTCACAGCTCCCAGGGTGCAGAACCCAAAGCACAGAAGACCTAGACTATGTTGAGTTTGTTGTGCTTTCTTACCCACAGTGGCAGTCTGGACAGCCCTCAGGCCACCTGAGGCAACACTGGCTAGAGAAATGCTGAGCTCACTTGTCATTCACTGGAGAGCTACTTCAGTGGAAGGAAAGTTAGGTAGCAGAGATTTTTTTACTAACTGCTTCTTCAACTATGTAACGCCAACTTGGAGCTGGCAGCTCTAATCCTACAATTAATTTTACCTGACAATTATTTTTCCTCCAGTTTACATGATCTCCAAATACTATTTCTATCTGGGAACTAGACAGAAAAATCTGATTCTATACTAAATTCTGCTTTCCAAACCTCCTAGTGAATTATCAAAATGAATGCAAATGCTCTAGGCTCAGTGGGAGAGATACCCTACATCCTGGCTCTGGCTAGGACAAGATTAATTTTTGCCGTAGTCTGGGAGGACCACGACTAGGACCTGGAGGTTATTCTACATGACTTTGTATCATTTTCCAAAAACAGGGGAAGGGGCCCCGGGTTAGGGTAGCATGACAGTTGGGTATTTTTGGGCTCTGCATAGTGGTGAGCAGTTGCATATTAGCTGCTCACCTCTCTGGGTTATATAGTTGTTGTCACTGTTTTTGTTATCTCGTTGTTTCCAATTAATTGTTCTTATCACAAGCCAAGATCTTCACCTTTTGTGCCTCCAACTCTCCTCTCATTCTGCTGCAGGGAATGGGGAGATGTGTGGTTTGGAGTGGTTTCAGTGGGAACAGTAAACCGGACAGCGTAATGTCTAAACTACAACACCCCCGTCAGGGGCACTGACTTCTACTTCCAGCCACCAGCCCAGGAGCTGAACATACAGGAAGGCAGAGAGGATGTGACCAAGGAAGAACAGTTTTGCCTTTCCTCAAAAGCCAGAGAACTGACCTCACACCTAGGAATGACTTTGAGAATGGAAAGATGTAAGACTGTATTCTCCATTCCAGACTTTGCATCCTACAAAGGGACATAAAGGATATAACTCATAAAATTTAACGGAGTCTGTATCAAAGGTTATCTGGAATTAAATCTCAAGTAAAATGGCATTACAATAGAGTGAATCTCAAACAGTGGATCAAGAGCAACAGAAGTGAAACCTAACAAAAAGTTATCACATCAGTAACTACAAAAATCAAACCCATTTCTCTGTCAAAGTCCAAGCAACAATCACACTGAAGTGTATTACTTTCTTTATGTGGTGTTTGGTGAAATTCTCCAAGGTTTAAGGGAAAGGCATAGAGGTATCACTGCAGTAACAGCCTATACTTATTCATCTGTGGGTCTTAAACACTAGTACATATCATGATCACCTATGGGTCTTTCTGACAACTAACCACCAACAAACCCTCCTGTAGTCCTCTCCATTTTTGAAGGAACGAGGATGGCATTACAAATAATTTTGCTTAAAAGGACACAAACATCGAGCTGCATATAAGTTATACTTAAGAGAATAAATCTGTACACTGAAGACAGGTTCTAACTTTTCTACACCCAAAAGGACTGGGATTTTTCTACTTCATGGCAGAAAAATGATGCACAGTTTGTGAAAACTCCAATTTCAGCCTGAGCTCCGGCCTGCTCGCCCCGGTGCCATCAGCACTCTAAGCAACTCTTCAAACACACAAAGAATTAGTTTTAAGAGAGGAAGTTCTGCACTGCTTACTTCTGCCAAAGCTGAGAGTTCCGTGCACGTTTAAAAACAGAGCTATTAAAAAAAAAAAAAAAAAAAAATCGTCTCTTCCGGGACGGCCGCGGGCGCCCCTGCCCGGGCCTGGGTGAGGGAGCGCTCGGGCGGGCGCCGCCCCTCACAGCGGCACCCCGCGCTCCCGGGCCCGCTCCCGACAGGCGGCGCAGCAGGAGGCTGGGAAGGCGGCAGGAAGCGGGGAAAGACGCAGCGGGCAGGAGGGAGGGCAGGAAGGAGAGAGGAAGGAAGCAAGCAAGCAAGCAAAGAAGGCAGCGCCTCTCGGCACGCGCTCGGCAGCGCCGGCAGGGCAGCGGCACGGCTCCCGCCATCTGGCTCCCGCAGCCGCCCCGAGACGGCGGCGGGGAGGGTTTGCGGGCGACGATGGACGCCACCCCCGCCTCCTGAGGCGCCGCTGGGCGGAAGCACGCTTACCTTCACAGGCAGCGAGGCGGCAGCGGCGGCGGCCATGCTGGCGGGAGGGCGGGGCGGTGCCGCGGGGCCGCGCTCAGCCCGCCGGGCGAGGGCGCTCCCCGCCGCCAGGGGGAAGCACCCGCCCGCGCTGCGGCCCCGAGCGGCGCGGGGAGCGGGCGGGGAGCGCCGCCGGCTCGGGAGCGCCGGGCCGTGAGGGCAGTGGGTGGGTGTCCTGCCGGGCCGTGAGGGCAGTGGGCGGGCGTCCTGCCGGGCCGTGAGGGCAGTGGGCGGGTGTCCTGCCGGGCCGTGAGGGCAGTGGGAGTCCTGCCGGGCCGTGAGGGCAGTGGGCGCCGTGCCGGGCCTGACGCCGCAACCCCGGCTTGCTGGCTCCTCAGTCCTTCCGACCTGCACCCTCCGCGGCGACTCTGGGAGCCTCCGCTGCGTGGAGCCGGAGTGGTGCTGTGGGGAGTGTGATGGAAATAGTTCGTGTACTTAAAGGTGCAGCTGTGCTCAGGTTGCCAAGCCCTGGCTCGGTCTCTCTGAAAACGTAATTGTCAGAGGGTCTGTATTTCAATCGGACCACCTTTCCCGTATTCCTGGAAACAGCGGTTTATTTGACTTCGCAATCCCCCCCCCCCAGTTAATATCCTTGAATTTGCCAACAGAGGTGGAGCTAAACTGCGCCACAAAATCCCCGAAGCAAAAAAAATCAGTAACGTGAAGAGAAAAAGAGCTAATTAGCCCTGGATTGCCAGAAACGGCAAAATGAGACCTAAATTCTAGCTCTAACTTACATGAAAATTCCTAATTTAGAATATTTTAAAATAAGTAAAAGAGGTTTGTTTTAAATCAAAAAACGTAATTAATTCAGAGTTTTAATGTACTCCGAATTAAGGGTTGTCTCTTCAATACCTAAAAAAGATGTCTGAGAACAAACTGGAGCACATTTTGCAGAAATAAAATAGTTCTTTTTGAAGCACAGACACTTAAAAAGTTTACACATGTTTAGCTCTCCAAGCTAAATAGAGCTTCAAGTGGTAGAAAAAGATAAAGGCTTTTATGGTGTATTAATAATTAAGATTTTCCTGTCTGTGGTGTTTTTCTTGTTGCTACCAGTCCATACATTTAGCAGGAACATTTGTTTTACTGTACCATAATCCTACATTTTGACACACAGCAACAGTTTTTTATATGTTTATGCATTTTATTTCTATAGGTATTACAAATTTGTATATATATTTTTATAAAATGCGTAGCTTTCAAAACCAGCCACTATTTTGTTAATTGGAAGTACTTGCTTGTAAAAGTCTTTGATATATTTTCTTTGATGCAGCTTTATCAACTAGAGACACCTTGGCCACCCAGGCATGCTATTCTCACGTGCCACTTAACCTGCCTGTTAAAGAAGTGTCACACATCTGCTAGTAAATGCAAGCTCAGATTCGTCACTGGACATATGTCCTACAACTGGAAGAAATGCATACTCCCTACAACTTAAGGCAGTAGGAACGTGTGCTGAATTCATGCTTCAGCTGGAAGGTGCTCTCTGTGCAGCTTTAAATGCTTTTAAACACTTCTCCTTTTTTTAACACTTTTTTTTTTTTTTTTTTTTTAAACACTGTCTTCGGTGTGTGCTAGCAATCTTCGTACTCTGCTGAGATGTTTGTTACAAAGGCTGAAACTTTCTTACTGCAGGTCAAAATGTAGAGCATACTGATAACAAATTTACTTTGCAAAATCGTGACAAAATGAGAGAAAGGACATGAGTGATGCTACATGTTAACTTCTTCAGCTGAAGTTATGGTTTTTCAAGTGAAGTTGTAGCCAACTTCTTTTATGGCTTCAGTGTGTAGCCATAATACCACAATACGACTGAAATTCACCACGTATTTCTGGTTCCGTTGAAGGCATATATTCTGCTTTTAGTGTACAGAATCTTTTAATGAATAATTCTTGGCAATTCTTTCTGTTTAATCCTCCAATTCTCCTCTGCTGAATTGCTTATAAAAACCTTGTTACAGGATTACTAGTGAGGTTGTAATTTCACTTCACAATTCCATTTATGGCATTACAGAAAAGAGCACCTTAAAATAAAGTGATAGCTTTGTATTTTCCCAGAGATTGCATTTCACACTTCGTATTCTAAATGATGAACTGTAAATCCGTTTTCTGAACAAAAAGGAACAGTTAAATGATGTTTCATTTTTTTCAAAAATAAAATAAATGCACAATTACTTGGAATCTCTCTGCTTCGATTTCACATTATTTCTGTTGGCTTTGTCTCATGGGCAGTGTTTCCTTAGCTGAAGTTAAAATAATGTGTAAAAATCATTTACACATTACACCATTCAAAAAATGCAAAAGAACCTTTAGATGAAAATAGGTAGTTCATATATCAGATGAATGCCTTTCAAACTTAAATCTAAAGTAGCTTTTCTATGTCTCCATGGAATTTTTGTGGAAGTCTACATGTAGTCAATACCTGAAAACCCTGAAAGTCCTTAGAAGTCTGGGAAGACCTGACAATTTAAGTTCCCCACAAGTATTCTAACAGTTTTGGTCATAGGGCTGACAGAGCTTGGAAACCTTGATCACATGACTAACATGACTGTTAGTGTAAGAAACACTTTAATTACAAAAATAGATATTATTTAGGTAAACATGGAAAGCAGTCTAAGAAGATAATTCTTCACAGTACAAACCAAAGCTGAGAAAAGGTTTGTTGTGGGCGATTAGGATGTAGTGACCCTTGAGTTTTAATCCTTCTTCAGACATCAAATACTTTCATCCATATAAGTAATTTAAACCCTGTCCCTCCTGAAGTCAGAATCATGATAGTAATCAACCTCAACTGTGTTAAGGGGTGTTCAGATTAGCTAGAATCTATCTGTGAGAATGCTTTGAAGATTAAAAGCTCTGTATCAAGGTAAAAGGTCTTACTTTTTTTATTACAACAAAAGTTTCTGTAAAGAAATAACAAGTGCTGTGTACACATAGCTGAGCTTTGAATTGCTTTTGCTAATGTTACTTCAAAGAAACAGTATTTACATGGAAGAAGGGAAAATAAAGCCTAGTCAAGTCCAGTTTACCTTTCCATTCATTCTTGTCGATCTCACTGTCAAGAGTTCCCATTATGCTGTACTGTTTGTGGACTTTGTTGTTTCTGCCCTAAAAGTTCACAGAATGTTTTCAATAGTGATGGAATATCTTTTAATGTGATGTACACATTAAAATAAGAGTATTCTGTGTCAGACAAAATTTGACCCAAAAAGGAAGCCCGTATTTGTCATTTGCTCTTACTGTGAAACTGGCTTTCTCTTTCACATTCCATGTTGCTTTCATCTTTGTTCCTGTGTACTGGAAACAATTTTCTGGCCCCTGTCCCCAAAATAATGATTTATGATTTCAACTGACTTCAAAGAAAAATTAATTTCTGTGTTTGGTGTTAGGAAAAATAACTTTTAAAGCATAAATAAGCTTAAGGACTCATGCATGTGAGCATGTAGTGTATCTGAGTCAGGTTCAGGAATATTTGAAAACTTAAGTTTCCAAATCTTTATTGTGATCCACTACCTAAACTGCTAGTTTATTGTTTCTACAGATGTCTTGTGGAGCAGAGGGGTCTGTGAACCCTTAAAAGCATGCCAGCAAAAGGCTAACTAAAGGAGTTGAAAAGACCTTTAGCAGGAGTTGAAAACATCTGTCTTTACACTGACTCTGCTGTGGGATTGTAACACTTTACATTAGTCCATCAATTTGTAAAATGAGCAGTTGGATTTTTCCTCATTTGAAACAAATGGAAGTGTCTTGAAGGGACCATTTTAGCAAAACAAACATCAGAAAATTGCTTCTCTTGCATGATTCTTTTCACAAGGAGGAACCATGAAGAAGATGACCTCATCATCTTCAAAGCTGAGATGTGCTTCTTGTGCATGAAATAACCTTAATTCAATGAAGATTGCAGAGTCCACAGACTGTGGCATTTACAAAAAAGAATTTTTTATCTTACAGATAATTTACTGATACAATAATTCTGAAAGCATCCATGCAAAGAAACACACACTGTGAGCTCAGGTATGTCAAATGTGCAAGATAAGATAGTGGAGTTCAGAAACTTGACTTTTGACATTACTGACATAAGCTAGTTCAGAAAATAAAATCCAAACTGCAATTATGCAGTCATACTTTTCTTCCTGATTGTAATGTAAGGACTCAAAGTCCCCATTATCTTCAGTGATGCTACAGAGAAAATGGAACCTCAGATCATGTAGGAAATGGTTACAGAATATGAGCATTACTTTAATTAATAGCTGCATTGGCCTGCTATTGTTAAGATGTGAATGATTCTCTCTGATCTGGTCCACATACCAGTTAATTAGTTTTTGTTCATGAAATACATGAGTGCATCCATATCACCTGTGTATAGAAGTGTTTGTAAAACTAATGTAGGTAGCTGGAGTAAAAGCTGCCTTCCCATGTGGTCGGCTGGAACTTGCTTCTTTACCACATGCTTCTACGTCCAGCATTTTTTCTAACATACATATCAGCTTAGCTCCCACCACACAGGTATTAAAAGGAGAAGAGTGAAAAAGAGTGGCCTAAGTATTTCATTGGTTTATGCTGAGGTATGGTTATTCAAACCCCAGCTGGATTTTGTTTTCCCATAACCCTCTTTGGCTGCATCTTGACTTCAGGTGCCTTACTTGGCTATGCTCAGGCATCACTTCTGAATGGTCTTGATGACTAAAAGTTAGGTCCTGGCCCAGGAGGCACAGTGACTCAGAGGCTGCTTCCCTGCCTCCTCCTGGCCATGGGCATGCAGGTACTCACTGCTGACGTAATGCATCCTTCAGTTATTACATGCCCATCCCACACAGCTGTGCTCTGGATGGGATCAGATCTTCACCTTTTTGATGCCTCTGCCTGCTTCCATTTAGAGGGCTTGCAGTACCATTTCCCTGTGGTTAGATCCCTGGTCCAGCAGGTTCTTTGTGGAAGTGAATAGGTTCTGAGCATTTAACACTTTGTTCTGAGGTTTGCCGGTGCTTCTAGCCAACACATGGTGGTTCTGTGCTAAACAAAACCCACAAAACTCTTACATGTGCATCCATTGTAGGTACAGATTATGTCCTTCAGCAATTTAATTTACCTCTAGCAGCAGCAGAATAACTCCTTTTTGTTGTGTGTGTGGCTTCTTTGCTAATGTATCCTGTGTAGCAATGTTAGCTAAACTGTGGTGTATGCCACCTTCTAGCTCATCATTCAGCTTTAAATAGCAATTAAATACTAGTTCTGTGCATGTAAAATGAAAAAAGAGGCTTTTTAATGTCTTCTTTATATCTTTATATTGCCATCTTCCAAAATAATAGAGGAAGCTTGAGATGAGAAGGTGTCAGCTTAAAATAAAATTTAATTCACTAACTATTGTAAAATATTTGGAGGGAAGCTAAAGAGGTATTTAAAATTTTATGCCTAATATTTTAGTTGATCTAGTGTCATGAGAGGAGTAACATAAATCACCTAATCAGAGAACATATACTTTCTAGCTGAGTAAAAGGGTAATGCTTTTAATAATGAGTTGATGTCTGTTGGTATCTATTGTCTACGGCATTAATCTTATTTAGTTCAGAAGTATAT